TGACTGACGCCTGACGGGGCCTTCAACAGGCGTGGTGCAAGCACGGCCGATGGGATCGGGCAGATACCAGGCCACGCGGGACCGATTGCCAGCGTCCGCTCGCAAACCACACGCCGGAAATACAGGAATCACAACGGTCAATACGCAAACGATAGCATACGTTATCTGAACTAGGGGATCCGACAATCCATAACCTCACTCTAGATCGGTGAACTGTTCCCGCCGTGGGAGAGTCGCAATCAGGTTCACTGAACATGACTTAAATACCCTGAGACGAACACGAGACAAGATAAGTGATATTTAAGATGTTTAACTCCCGAAGACATATAACCCTCGCCGGCCGAGGGGGGTTGGTGCCACCCCGTGACGGGTTTTTCGCGACTGCTCCGGAGCCGTTTTAGATAGAGGGATAGAGAAAACCGTCGATTTACGCCGAAGTACGCCGAAAATTTCGGCGCAAGCCGTCGATTTGCGCCGAAGTACGCCGAAAAATTTCGGCGCAAACGCCCAACTACGCTCGAGTTCTCGACGAAAGCGTGCATTTTTTCCAGTCGGGTCACCACATGAACCCAACTTTACTAAGGTTGTGCGATGCATGTTTTATGGCCAGTTTTTCATTTCCAACCCAATGGTGTTGGTTATAAGACCATCAGGTACGGTTTAGGTCACTTTCTGGTGGAGGTCAGGTCAAAAAAGGTCAAAAAAGGTCAAATTTCAAAGTTGATATTTTTGCATAAAAAGGGTATCGATTCGATGCAGCTCGTCACGGGGAGTCTAATGGTGGTCTTTGTTTTGCACTACGAGGTCTAGAACTGCTAAAAATTGAGTTTGAAAATTTGACGTCATCAATTTTGAACAGTTTTTTCGCTATAACTTCGCCAAAAAAAGAGGTATCAATCTAAAATTTGGTATGTGGATGGAAGGCGGTAAGGACTATCACATATATTCCGGTTTTTGCGAAATTCAAAAAACTTTTTGGATTTTTTGACTATTATATCCCAAAAATCTATTTTTTGATTTTTGGGGGTCAAAATAAAAAATTCAAAAATCCGAGATAGCAGTTTTGTAGCCCTGTCAATTCTACAGCTTTTATGTCCTAAACATTTTTCTGTATTTGCAAAGCTATAGGCCTGACAGCTCTTCCCGCGAAACCCTTTTTTGGGTCGAAAACGGCAGAACATGACGTCACTCTGACGTCATTTCCGGCCAACCTATCATAGCTTTTGGAAAAATTTTTGGTCACAATGTGTAAAATTGATGTCCGGGAGGGTACTGAAAGTTTGGTGACGATCGGCGCAGCGGTTCTGGAGATATATCGAAAAGTCTGGAGGGGGGCAAAAAATAGCCCCCCCCCACCAGCGGCCGATTTCATAAAAGGTAGTAAAATACATCCGGCGCAATTTCCCACCCGTTTTTGCCGGATTTTATGCCCTAGCGGTTTCATAAAGAAAACGGGGTTGTATTTTGCGACCGAAATTCTACTACGTCGACTTTTATGCCCAACAGCTGTTTTTGGAGAGAAATGCAGCAGATCGGTTTCATAAAGCGATGCATTTTACACTCAAGTAATTTTTCATGTTCTTGATATCCCACAAAATTTTGCGTTGCTCTGAGCTGCATAACTTTGACCAAACTTGACATCACCAGTTGTTTTGAACATCGAATTGTGAAAGTGAGTCGAATTTTCTACCTATTTATTTTGAAATAACTATTTGACCAAGAATCAGGAGCTTTGAAGGCAGTAAGTGATACTTTGTAGACCACGAGAATGTATTGTTGGCAGAAATTTGTTGTTGGTATAGTTGATAAGATTTGAGACTGAGAGTTTGCAGGGAGCCACTTGAATGTTCTTTCTTCAACATTGACATGGTAATATATAAAATGAGTGTGATAATGCTTTTTGCCACAAGTGATGTGTAATATTGGTATGTCAATTGTCAGCTACATCATCATATGTAGGTACTTATATTGATATTAATACCTATTAATACTTTTTCCCGTCATCGTCAACAGATTCACTGGTCTCAAGTTGTCAGTATTGCGAGTTGGAGTGCATACCTACATCAATTGAAGGTCTTCCAACCAAGGTGAGCTGCTATACCCAAAGAGGCTTCTGGTATTATTATCAGTATACAAAAGGCCTGAATGCCGAATGGATTGTAGCCTGTAGGTTGATAGGCTGTAGCTTAGTAAGTTGGAGGTAGGTAGGTCGTTGTTGCTCTAAATCAATGTCATTTGCAATGCGCAGCTTCTAAATGTCTTTGTATTCCTAAAATTAGTTTATATTCAAAAAATGGATAGGTAGTGTAGCATTTTTTTTCTACGTAACAGTCAGATATTGTAGGTTTGACATCTTTTTGCCTCACCAACTTCCGCTGTCACCATAACAGGTGTCTCACATGCGGCCAACTGTTGATAGAAAGTTGCTTGACTCCATTCCTTGAGATGTTTGTATGAAATGGCATATGAAAGTCAAAAAAATATATTTGTGCACATTTGCCGAGCTTAAGGATGCCAAATTATTGCTACCAAATGACATAATAGGAACAGCAGAGGTCCCAAAAAGTATACACAAGTTTAAGTCAAATATCTTGACACCAGTGAATATTTTTCATTGAAATTTGGTAGATTTTTGTTCTTGATCTTTCTGAACCACGGGACATCACTTTTATGCCAATTCATTAACTTTTTTGAAAGTGGGGAAGGTCCCTTTAATAGAATAATATCATCTGACCTAACCTTACCTACTAACATACAACCCAACAACCTACAACCTAAATCCTAAAAACGCAAACCTAACACAATGTGTAGCTCAAAGTGATATTCTTGTTAATATCTCAAGAACTGGATTCTAGAAACTTTTCGCAAAACTGTTGCCAGCATATGAGACGCCTGCTTTATGAATTGATAACCCAACTTCCTTTGAAAAGTTCCACCCATGGCTTAGTATGGTCAAAGGTTCTTTGTCAATTTGCTTCTTCGTTCAATAATTTGCTTCGCTTCATATAGGAGCTTTGCATACATAAAGCATCTATTGTTTTTGGCAATGGCTGGAAATGGAACAAAGTACTGTCTTGTTTGTATTGTGTACCTATGTATTATCCAATTAAAATGTAACATGAAGTGATTTTGATCATTTTCCAGCCCTGCATCTTGAGAAGAAAATCTGCATGTGGTAGCTCGGGCAGATTTTCTTCTCTTACATCTGCTTCCATGTCCCATAGCAGCATCTTACACTTTTCCCCACTCTTCCAATAGGGCACGCCACAGAGTATTGCATCTTACACCTCCTTTTTGTCCCATGATAACACGTTAGTGGATCGTCTAACGGTAACACGGTGTCCGTGTCCCATAGAGCGCGCCAGCCGTGAGCAGCCAGCTGGTGCAGAGGGCACATCAGGAGAAGCCGTCCTGGCTCATCACACAACGGCCGTGCCGTCCGCTGCCGGTTCCGTGTTGGAACCCGGAGCGCTGGAGTGGCCTCCGCGCGCATCTCCGAACCTCTCCAGCCGCATCCAGTCACCGGGACCGCGGCCGCCTATGAGAACATCATTAGAGAGCAGGAGCTGCGCGCATGGCTGCAGCAGTTCATGGGCGGCGGCGCTGTGGACTCTGCCGAGCACGAGAAGCTGTGCTCGGCGCTGGCACAGCTCGAGAATCACTTCTGTGAGAGGAGGCTCTGGAGCGCGAACTGACCACGCTAAACGAGGGCCGCCAGCAGCTTGCCCAGCTGTAGCAGCTGGTGTCGCAGCCGATTGTTGGCCAGCAGCCGGCGGCGGCCGCTCCTTCCGTGGCGGCCCCGGACAGCGGCACCAACTCTCCGACTGCCCCGCCCGCCGTCCGTCCGCCCTGGCCGAGATGGCGCGCTAGCAGACCGCCCAGCGGATACTGTCGCTGATCGAGCAGATCGGCGCCAGCGAGTACGTGGACGGACAAGCGGCTCCGCTGCACGTGTGCGAGCACTGCGGCGCCCGCGGCAAGCGCGTCCCATAATAGTTGGGCCAGACTGTGTAAAACCGCCTATATCAAACCGTTTCAGTGCCTGACACTGTGTGATGGGGCCGGCTGCGTCCCCGAGTGGGCGAGTGAACTATTCGCCTCCGCAGCGGGGCATATATTGCTCAAAATGGTTGGCGAGTAGTCTTCAGCGAGTTTCGAGGAAATTATTAGCGTGTTGCCATGTTGGGGGCGGATCGGCGTCTGTCTGGGTGGTTATGTTTGGAATTGTTTCATTGTTTATTTTATATCACAATGCATGAATTTCTTGGTGATAAACATATGCACGGTGTACTTCATCAGCGACGCCACGACGCACCTGAACGTGCAGTCAGCGGCCGGCTGCGTCCCTTTCCTACCCCACCCGCCAAAATTTCTGAAAATGTGTGCTTTGGTCCGGTCGGAAACAATCCTTGCTTTTACAAAATTTGTGATTTATTCATAATTCATGGCCAGCAATAGCATAATTACCTATTCATTAGTAGAATAACAGCTGTTGGAATTTGCATCGCAGCTATCAGAGCGATTCCGGTTAAACTTCAAACACTTGTCTCAAACGATCTCAGATGTGCGGACTAGCAAATAAAGCAACGACACACCTTCGTGGCATTCTTTGAGTAGCACGTATTACGACGAAAACAATTGTCAAGGCGTTGTCATCTGTCGCTGTGTTCAGTGTTCACTATATTCAGGAGATATTGCCATCGCAGAACTTGGCGCTCGACGATCTTGGAAATCAGTATCTCCGAATCAGTATCTCTTATACGGCGCGCGCGCGCAGTTATCACTCGGCCGGCCGGCTCGCGTACAAAGCCTCAATGTAACAGCTACTGTTCTACGTCTTAACCGCCTTTTGACCCTGTGCTGTTGTATTATCGTAAATTTGAAAGCAAACAAACTTAAATCAAGACACTCAGACTCAGTCAAAGCACGCAATAAAATCATTAGAAAAATAAATTATACCTTTTTGATATCACTATCACTTCCCTTTAATTCGTCTAAAACACGTACGATTTTAAGGGCGCCGGCAGCCGCCATCGACAACCCAAGTCGGGGGCGAATGGGCCGCGCACACGGACCGACACGGCTAGAGGTCACGGGGTCACCGTGTCACGCCGCCGCCGGAATCGAGCTACCCGCGCCATATTCATAACGCACTGAAGACCTTCAATCGGTCTATGACGTGTCAATACGCTGCTGACTGCGTACCGACCGCTACCGCCACCTATCCTCTGGTCGAAGAGGAGCACAGCGCTCACAGCGACCTCTACAGTGACGAGCGCCCACACGACTCAGCGAGGCAACCCTCACTGCTCACCGGCATTTACAACCCAAAGCGACGAGCGCAGCGCCTGCAGCCGGGTGTGGCCGGACGCGTCGAGAGACGCCGCCAGGCCGGTCATCTGCGCCGTCAGACGGAACGGCACGAGCAGCAGGCTGATGAGTGGTGGCCGAGCCGCGAACACATGTCCTGTCGATTCCGATCAGCTGCAGCTGCACGTCAGTGGCGCCGCTCTGAGTCCCATGTCGCTTCATCTGCTCCCACTGAACAGCTCGCGCGTCTCGGCGCACTACTGCTCGAAGTCGGGGCACGTCGAGCTGATGAACTGGTTCAGCGTGCTGGTGTGCTCGAGCCAGTCGATGATGGCCAGCTTGGGGTGGACGGTGGTGAGTGCCAGCCGGCGGTCGACAACCCCCGGCTCCGCGGTCAGCGCACCGTTTACAACGGAAAGGCTGCTGCACACGCTGGTTGGTGCTCGTCAGCCACCTGCAACATGCGTGCATTACATGTATTACATTTAATTGCATTCTAAAGACCTTATAAGCTGGAACACAATTAGCACAACTGAAACACGATAAAAAAATGTGAAATGTTTGCTTCAAAACTTGAGTTTGACTGAAAACAACCGGTGCCTGTAATCAATTATGGCAGTAAGACTGTTGCAGTCTGTTTAAAATGCCAGCCTGTTTAATTTGTTAGCTTCATGTCAACAAATGTACCAACCTACAATCTAATGACAAACGGTACTAGATCTTTGAATGCACCAACAACGTTATCACGTTTTGTTAACTTCTTCCCCAATACATCACTGTAATACAGCCATACAACTAATGACTAGACATGCAAATGTTTTTCTTGGTAAAATTGGAAGTGGAAAATTGCTCTCAAAAGCCAGAGATTAGTGCAAAATGATTTTATTTAAATGTTTGCCTGTTCCCTCCCAAATCAACAAATTATGGGAAACTGCCTACCATACCTACCCTAGGTAATAAAGTATAGGTACATGGTCTCACCTCTTGCAATATGGACAACATTGTTGACAAATAACTTCTAAACTTTGTCTCTGTTGTAGAGGCCAGCCAGGCAGCCTCAAGGCAGCCTTCCAAGTTCCACTGCTACTGCTGCTAAAGGCCCTCCAGTCTTCCTTTCAGCAGCTGGAAAATAGGATTAAGGATATTAATAACAACCTTACTTTGGCTGTTGGCAATCTTATAGCTTAGCTAGTGGCTCCAGTGCTGCCACCTGTTTGTGAAGTCACCAGACTCGCCAGTTCTGAAGATATCTATACAAATTTCACCAAAAGTTGCAGTAGGTTGTAGGTTTGTAGGTTGCTGGGTGGTAGGTTGGTAGGTGGTAGGTTGTAGGTTATAAGGTAAAGTTGGGTCAAGTTAGATGAGGCATGTTTTGTTCTGTTAGACTATTTGATGACTTTTCTAAGCAAATTTTGTGTAAATATCTCGAGAACTGACAAGTCTGGAGACTTTTTGCACAAACGGGTGACAGCACCTGACTGAGCAGTATCCGTACTTACTACAGGCAAAATACCTGTACAGTGTACTTTGTCAATAGAAATATTCATGGGGATTTTGACAAAAGACAGCAATTCAAATTACCAATGAGTCATTGCAAATGTTTTTATGGAATCAGAATGACAAACACTTTTTAGTCCACTTTTGTATTGACATAGCCTGAAATAGTTTCATCATCCTTATACTCAAAACCATTCATGTTGCCACCCCCAACTGGAAAAAATGCCTCCACTACGCTGAAGTTCTCGGCGGAGGTGATGCGCCGAAATTTCGGCGCAAGGGTTTATGCGCCGAAATTATTTCACCAAGCCATGCTTCATGCGCCGAAAATTTTCAAGGCTTACTGATGGCTGCAGGCTGTAGCCACGCACTTTTCGTCGAGGGGGGGGGCTGGCGTGTGTGTGTGGCTGTCTTCCAGTGACTACTGTCTACAGACGGTTGTTGGCACGGTCGACGGGATCGGGCAGACAATAGACATCAGCAGGCCATGCGGGACCGAGCACCAGCGTTCGCTATCACAAAATCTCCTGACTCACAAACTCACTGGCATGTTCCATAACGTAACCTTTATTTTGTTGCCCGGCTCTGATCAGCAGTAGTGGCCGCCAGCCGGTGACTGACGCCTGACGGGGCCTTCAACAGGCGTGGTGCAAGCACGGCCGATGGGATCGGGCAGATACCAGGCCACGCGGGACCGATTGCCAGCGTCCGCTCGCAAACCACACGCCGGAAATACAGGAATCACAACGGTCAGTACGCACACGATAGCATACGTTATCTGAACTAGGGAATCCGACAATCCATAACCTCACTCTCGACCGGTGAACTGTTCCCGCCGTGGGAGAGTCACAATCAGGTTCACTGAACATGACTTAAATACCCTGAGACGAACACGAGACAAGATAAGTGATGTTTAAGATGTTTAACTCCCGAAGACATTTAATCCTCGCCGGCCGAGGGGGGGTTGGTGCCACCCCCCTGACGGTTTTTTTCGCGATTTACGCCGAAGTACGCCGAAAATTTCGGCGCAAGCCGTCGATTTACGCCGAAGTACGCCGAAAATTTTCGGCGCAAACGCCCAACTACGCTCGAGTTCTCGACGAAAGCGTGCATGTTTTCCAGTCGGGTTGCCACCCTGACCTTGGCAGAAGATTGAGTTGTTAATTCATGGTACATAGATACTTTGCATTGCTGCATCAACTATGCCGTAACAGTAACACATGAACACTGACACCAGTTGCTGTGGATTACCCAGTACCCACATCATCAATTAGCAAAAGCTGTGTGAGGCAAGTGATGTAATACTCACATTTCAGTAGTCAGCACTAGCAGTCGTCGCACTCGTTTTTGCAACTTGAACTAAGGAGAGGCGCTTTGCCTTCTAACCAAACTGAAACTCAAACTCAACCAAGGCCAAACCTTGGGCAGCGGCTTATTGATTGTTTCACTGCGACGCTCTCATCGTTTGGACACATCAAAACATAAATCAAACACTGAAACATATATATCAGAAACAAATGAACACCCAAGCAATCAATGTACAAAAGGGATTTATATATATATCAATATCCTGAACCTAATTCAAATTCAGCCGGCCAAAATGAATGCAGTAGTTTCTCTATGGCCTTGGACGATTGTTTTTGTTTACAATTCCTAATGCAAGAATAGCAAATAAATTTTTGTCTGATTACCTATTGATTATTGTTTTAAACATCATATTTAATTTTATTATTGATGAATTAAAATAATTACGTCATTTCATGTTAATACTTTGATAATTCACAGAATTAAAATATTTATTAAAGTTCTGTTGGTAGTAAAATGCAATCAAAGCAAGCAGAAAACTACAACTGCCGAAATTTATGCCCTCCGAGCTTTATGAAACCGCTCCCTCAGTGTGGTTGTAGTTTTGAGGGGTGAGAAATGCACCTAGGTGTAAATTACTACCAAACCTTTATGAAATCGGCCGCAGGTCGCGGGTTAACGTGATGACGACGTCATTAGAACGAAGACTGGTTGCGGTGGTGACTGGTATGTCACATTTGCGAGCAGCTGGTTTGAATTGCCAATCAGCACGCTACTTTGGAATGACGTCATTAGTTTTACTCATACGAAAGTTTGTTGGGGCGATTTTATCAAGGTTTGTCAAATTCACACGTGACATTTAGCATGTAGAAGGCCCACAGAGAGGGGAGAGGTTCCAAATGTCATGTGACCCAATATGCCCTCCGGCGCCCTTTAGTCACCGGCGTCCGTCTATTTGCTCTATTTCAAACTTCCGGTACAAGTGCGCGGCGCGGTCCCGTGTTGAGCGTTGCTCGTGAAACTGAAATTGGAGGGGAAATAATTATAGTGAGATGAATGAAGTCCCTTGCAATATAATTGCCTGTGGGTTCGGTGCAGATATTTTGGGCTCTCGGCTCGCTTTGGTGCGGATTTTCCGGCTCAGTTTGAAGGGTTGGTGCGGATTTTGAACTTGGGCCGGTGCGCCTCGTCGACTTGCGTGCCATACTTTGCAGTCTGGGTTTTAGGTTAGGTTAGGTTGTAGGTTTGTAGGTTTTAGGTTGTAGGTAGGTAGGTTTGTAGGTTAGGTTAGGTTAGGGTAGGTTTGTAGGTTGTAGGTCGGTAGGTTATAGGTAAGTAGGTAAGGTTAGGTCAGGTTTGATTATGTTTTTTTCTTTTATTTGCGAGACATATGAGTATCATTTTTGGATTCAGGATGTCAAATAATGTAAAAATATGAAAAATTTATCAATGAAATCTTCTTAGGACTTAAACTTGACATTTACCCAAGATTCTCCTCACTAGAGCACTGCATACTACATTTCATTGGGCCTATCCTGTGCAGGGGCGGTTCTCCCATATAGGCAAGGTAGGCAGTGCCTACGTCATTTGTCGTCTCCCCTGTGTCTACACCCTCACTAGACTGTGGCTTTTGATTGTTTGATTGCTTTTGTTAAAGATCTTTTTCTTTTCGTTTGTCAAAATGGGTTGAAACGAAAGAGAATTGCCTAAACTTTTCAAAAAATGTCAAACAAAGATTGTGTTATAACAACAACTTGACAAAAACCTTTGCCTAATTGTGCCTACCTCGTCCTACTAGATTATCGACTATTGCCATGTTGAGGCTATTGAGCCTTTTGGTAGAAAAAGTTTAGATGGTCGGCACATCGACTAGGTGCTACCTTCTAACTTTCAAACTTAACTTTTTATTAAGTTCATTTATCATAAAATAAAACACATTTAACGTTATCAATTTTTATCATTAGTTTAGGGTACCTAGCGTTGTTATGTCGGTTGTGTTATTCTATTGTTTGTTAAAAATTATATTGGACGAACTAGACTCCTACTGGGAGACTAGCTTGCCTCTGGCGGCAGACGTGTAAGCTCTAGTTAAGTTAATGGTTTTTGTAGATGACGCTGCTGTCGCTGCTTGACGCATCCCGATGAGCAATAAGGCTGTCTTTTCCCCCTTAGTTTACCTATTCCGTATTCAGCTTTTCTGCCTTACCTACCAAGTGCCTACCTACTTTCAATAGGTCAGCGCCGCCCCTGATCCTGTGTATACCCACTTTTATTTGGTACCTAACTTTGTTTTTAACATCTAGGTAATTTGTTTGCTGATTTTCATCTTGTTGTGTAGGTCAAGAAAGTAATTCCAATGCTAATTGAAATGCTCAGGCATTAATGGCATTAAAAATGCCCAAGTTTATGCCTAAATGCACTGACCGCACTTGGTCAGCTTAAACTGCATCCTGTTCGGCTTTTGGTAGACCCTGACATCTGTTGGGGCCTAGGATATTGATATTGAAATGTTACAAACCGATTTTCAAATTGCAAGTGGCATTTTGATTAAAAAAACCCATTGGGAAACTACCGTACAACCAAATTTCATTGAGCTAGGTTCAACAGATTACATCACAGGTCAGGTTTAGGGTCATATTTTCATCATTCACAGGCCTCATCCTAAGGAATGCAGGTAGTCGTTAAGCAGGGGTCACAACTCACAGCTCACACTTGTTTAGTTGTTATTTGCAACCAAGGGGAGGCACTATACCTGGAGATGCTTTCTAATCAACCAAACCTAACCTAACCTAACCAAACCTGACCTAACCTTACTTACAGCCTAAAACCTACAACCTAGAACCTAAAACCTACCACCTAAAACCTACAACCTAACCTACAGCGCCTCTCCTTGGTTGCAAGAAACAAGTGTGATGCCTGCTTTACTTAACACGCGCAGTGGAAGGGGGGGGGGGCGGATTTCGCCCACCCCTCCTGTTTTTCGCCAGTAACTCGCGTCGCAAGCATAATATCAATGTGAAATTTCGGCTACCTGTCCAGAATTGAATTGCGGATCTTCTCGTGCAAGAAGTAAGAAAATCGGTTCACAACTTTTCTAGTAATAGCGGTGTAAAGTCAAACATCCTGCCGCCGCGGCGGCGCGGCGGCCGGTACGCGCCGCCTGAATTGTAGACTGTGCCGGGGCGGGACGGTTCCGTCTTTACATCGCGCTCCTTACCGCTAATTATATTAGATTCGCGTCAAATTCGGTGAGAAGACTGAGAAATGTACAAGCAATCATATGGTTAAAGAATTTTGAAAATCGGCCGGTAACAACTTGAGTTATGAGTGTGTAAACACAAAATTGTGATTGCCGCGTTTCCCGCGTCGGCCGACGCCGCTTCAGCCGGCGACATCTTACCCTTAGCAGGCTTCTAACTGCCATATTTATTGCTGGATTATCTAGAAATTCACCATACATACTCACAAATGTTTGTTCTTTCGTATAGTGAAAGATTTAAAAAAATCGGCCGGTAACTTTTTGAGTTATCGGCGTGTAAACGCAAAAAAGTCGCTAATATGGCAGATTTGACCACATTTGACCTCATTTGACCTTGAAGATATTGACCTAGGGTCATGAAATTCACACACAACAGAGTTCCCCACGGCCCCCACCTACCCTCCAAATTTCGTCTTTCTAGCTCCACTGGGAGCTGAGATCTTAGGGGGGGGGGGCGACATCCGCCCCCCCCTTTCCACTGGGCGTAGTAGGGGAGAGTGGGGCACATTCGTGCAAAAAATGGATAAACCCATATATCTGTTCTTTGGTTAGTGCAATGGCAAAATTGTTGATTGTAGTATGGAAAGGAACTATTGCAGATAGTTTTCCTCTTTAAAAGTTATCCTATAAAATTATTGCTTCCATTAGAAAAAATGACTTTTATTAACTCTGAACATTTGCACGAAACTGCCCCACCTATGGGGCACATTCGTTCAAGAGATGGGGCACTTCCGTTCACCCGGCAAAATTCGAGAAATTACCGGGCATTACCAGAAATTTACCAAAGGAAATTGGCAGGGGGTCATTTCACTTGATTCCTTTCGACAAGAATGCATTGCACAACAAATGTAGAAAGAATGGGCTGGCCAACAAGAATGTGCCAACTGCCGGCCTCCGTGACCTCGCCAAGTTCGCGTGAATTGCTCGTCACGACGTCGCAAGCAGTCGAGACTGAGTCAGGCGAGCGTCATTAGAGAAACCTACTACAGATAAAGTCATAAATCGCAAAAATAAAAAAATATGCACGAATGTGCCCCCAGGCAGTGCGTACACGAACCTGCCCCACAACGTTATTAGTAATATATTTCAAAATTTCTTTTTGAAAAAATGACACTTTTTCAACAAACAAGTTTGCAGCAGTTCCGTGAATAGAGTGGGCTTCTTCACCCCCAATTTTGAAAAGCTGAACCACATTTCCGAGTCAGGATCACGAAAATGGATGATATGAGAAAAGTTTGGAAAGCTCACGAATATTACAAATTTGCGTTTTTATCAAGCATGACAGCAGGTACAGTGTTGTCTTCTACGGTGAACGAAGGGCGGCAATGATAGACATATTTCCATAATTTACCTTGAGCTCGTGCAGTCACTCGTGTTCCCATAAACTGCTGAAAACGAATGTGCCCCATGCACGAATGTGCCCCACTCTCCCCTACTCGCAACCCTTCCACTGCGCGTGTTAACCCGCGCCCTGCTGGGGGTCCTGGATTTCCACGCCCTGCTGGGGGGGGGGGGTGTTTGAACACCCCCCCTTGTAACTCGGCTCCTGGGCCACGTAGCGATACGCGGAAGGCGGCGTTCGAAAGAGCGTAAAAAATAATGACGAAATCACTTCGGTCAATTTTTTGGTCAGGTCAAAGGTCAGGTCACCAGAGGTCATTGAAGGCAAAATTTCGCCGATTTCCAGGTCGAATGTCGAAAATTTCCAAGAAGCCAACGCATAACTCGGGAACCAATAGAGCTACAGCGCCGCGGAAAAGCGCATTCGATAGCCCTATTAACGCCCTTTCTGAGTAATTCTCTCAGATTTGACCTAAGGTCAACGGTTTTGCCTGCAGGGGGCAAAAACTGCAAAAATAGCCGATATTTTCGAAAACAGTTTTTCTGCAATAACTTTTGACCCAAGCCTTGTACGAGCTTACTTTTACCGGCATCGTGTTCCTCTCGTCAAGACGCATCGAATGAACTATAACTTGACCTTGAAAGGTCAACTTGAAAATTTGACCTCAGGTCAAGGTCATGACCTGACCGGAAAGGGTCATGTTGCATATCAGTCGATCCGTATCGTCGAGCTGAACACATCTAAGGCGTTTTCATCGCTCTAGCATGCCTCTATCAAAAGTTATTTGCGAAAAACTGTTAGATACCATTCGTGACCTAAGATGACCTCAGGGCATAAACAAGGGTCACAGACACCATTTTCAAGTTCAGTGTGTCTAAACCACTTGTAATTCGGTGTTTGGGAGTGTGTATAATGTCTTTCATCCAAAAGAGGCGCATTTCAATTTTCTCCCATTGACTTATAATGGGGAGGTCGCAAAATTGACCTGACCTTAGGTCATCGATATCAAAATTCTGAGATAAACATTTTGTACATGCTATTGCTCTTGGCAATCGCTGAAAGTTTCAAAGCGATCGGTCACTCGGTGTAGCTATGACAGACATTGAAAGTTTTTATGAGGTGAGGTCACTTCAAGTGACCTGGTGACCTGACCTTGAATGACCTTGGTCTGAAATTTTCACAACATGTGTAGAATTGATGTATGATAAGGTGTACCAAAAACGGCGGCGCGGAGCGCCGCCGTTTTTGAGATATTCGCGAAAAACCACAAGGGGGGGGGGGTGTTCAAACACCCCCCCCCCCAGCAGGGCGCGGGTTAAACTGGAATGTATTATAGCATGGAGTAAAAGACGTGTTATCAAAAATCATTGATTGGTCATTAGTTGCCTAATACTTATATTGCTAAATGAGGTCACTGATGCCAGGTCAGGTCGCAGCAGTCAGGTTGCTAAGGGTCACAATATCACTGACTGTACTAGTGAAGTAGGTATGACACATGTTTATGGCCAATTTTACATCTCAAATTCAATGGTGTGGGTAAGGCGACCATTAGGGCCAGTTTAGGTTATGTTCTGGTGGAGATCAGGTCAAGGTCAGAGAGCAAACAGATAAAAGAGGTGCCCAATTACCTGTCAGGACAAGACCGACACCATGTCTCACATTGCCCCTAAAGTCCTGCCATGCTTGCTTGTGCAAAATACTTGTCACACTGGCATGCTTGTCACTTGTGCAAAATGCTTATTACCGAGTCCGAGTCTTATTTATTTTCTGAGAGCTGTTTAGTGTTTACCTTCTAACCCCCCCCCCCCAAAGACAAAAATGATGTAAAGTTTCCGAGAAAGGATGTTCACAAGAAACAAGGTACCTATCTGTAGTGCTAAATACTGCCAGCTGGTAGTGTGATAATTCAGGTAGCAATCTGTTTGTGGTCTGACCTAACCCCATTCACAGACGGGGCACTACCGCCTGTTTGTTGGCTGCAGCCAACAGACTAATCCCAGCCCATATAATCCCCCAACTAATTCCCATATTTTGCCAGGATGAATGAAGAGTCGGTGCGGGAGGAACAGCTGCGTGAGGCGGCCTGCGTCGGAGATGTGGAGGCGTTGAACAAACTCATCCAGCATGGCGTCAACGTTAACTCCAAGAACGCCATCAATGGGTGGTGAGTGTTTGCCGGTGTGGGACAGCTGCTCACTGCTACCTATCTGCCGCTACCTCTGCTTAAAGACCGAGTCTAGACAAATTTGTATTACACTGCTTTCCGCATTTGTGAACAAATTGGATAGCCATTTGTATGAGAATAAAGTACCTACTACATTGACGTTCCTCAGCGCTACATAAAACAGAATTATGGATTGAAACCTTTGCAACTAGATATGCCTTGCGGTAACAACCATTCGCATTCCAACGCAAACTTCAGACTGGCGCCGGAGTCGGATCGTTTCCGCGGATTGCTCACAGCGTTGAGTCAGTCCGCGCACTACACAACATTGCACAACATTCGGAACTCGTCAACACAGCCGGATTATGTCAGTCGGGCCCACTCACCGCGCCGCGGCCGGTTCGCGGTAGGCTCTCAGAGGGGTCGCCCCTCCGCTGGCGGTGACGGAGGCCGCCTCCAGAGGGCGCGGTCGGCCGGTGACACCGTGACCGTCACCTGGTCGGCGTCCAGTCCGTGCCAGAGCAGCCTCTCGGCCGGCGTGGGGCGGCTGACGGCCAGGCTGTACGGCGGCGGCTCGTCACCCGGGTACGGCGGTGGCGGCGCACTGTCGGCAGCGGCGGTCGGTAGGTGACTCTCCGGGTTAGCCGGGAGGGGGCTGTCCGGGTCAGCCGTCTGTAGATCGGCCAGGTTGTCGCAGGAGACGCTCTCGAACAGAGGCAGGTCCGGCTCGGGGGAGAGCAGCTCCCCGCATCGCACGGCGTGGACGGGCCGCGGGGCGGCGGCGGCAGAGGTGGCTCCCCTCGTGAGCCGCAGCCGGCCGACGGCCACCAGTCGGGTCACGGCGCTCCGGCCGCGCTGCCGGAGCGCGGCGGCCGCCTGGCGCAGCGCGGCCGGCCGCCGCAGCCGGCGCAGCTCGGGCTCCGGTCCCAGGCCGTCCGGCTCGAGTACGGTCCACTCGGCGTCCCGGTCCTCGGGGGCCGACTGACGCCGCTGGCGGCGGTCCGACACCTGCTGGCGGCGGTCCGACACCTGGCGACACCAGCGGCGCGCGAAACGGCGCGCCAGGGCCGCCTCCGCCAGCGGCCACTCCTCCTCGGGCGGAGAAGGGCTGCGGGCTGGTGCCACTGGCCGAGCGGAGCTGCGTGCTGACTGTTCTGGCGGAAAGGGGCTGCGGGCTGGTGATACTGGCTGATTACGGCTGAAGGCTGGCCGCTCCTGCTGAATAGGACTGAAGACGGTCTCTGCCGCGGGATCACTGACGGTATTGAAGGCTGTATCCTCTGGCTGATCAAGGCGTAAATCGGGCTCCTCCGGCGGGGTGGCACGGTCCCGCCGGCCGGGCCGTCGCGGGTCCCCGGCCGCCGAGTATAGACATCCGTCAGTCTGCGGTAGGTCTTTCAGTAGTCGCTGCAGTCGCCAGGCCACCTCCAGGCCCTGAGACGGCGGCTCACACGGCATGGCTCCCAACGGGCCGGGTCAGGGCCAGGTCACTGCGGTCACACCCTACCCGTGGTCTCCGCCGCTGGAGGCAGGTCCTCCGGAGGTCCCGAGTCCACTCGTAACGCACGCTACGGCGCGGCCAGTCGGCCCCGGTGGCGGTCTCACGTGGCAGCCGGTCCGCACCCCACCGCAATACAAACGGCACCGCACACTGCGCAGATAGCGCTCCCAGCTCTGCCCGAGACGAGGGGGATGACGTCACCTCAACGGCGGCCGCTGATTGGCTCCCTGACGGGAACCTGGCTGACGGCCGACCGGCAATGCCACTGGGATAGGATCGGCGCTGAATGATCCAAAGGTGAAAGGATTTAAAAGATACCGTGTGATTCTGTAGACTGTATGCGGTCATCTGGTCCTGGTTGCTGTTTGGAATACTGTGCGAAGTAACGTTCCTGTATTTCTTGCTCGATGATGTAAGGAATTATTGATGTAGTTTGTGCGAAGTGTGCCCAGCCTCCGTCAACGTATTGCCAAATAAGGGCTGGTGTTTCCGGATTTCGGTGTAAACTGGCATCTAACCGAGGCACCAGTCTCCACCCACGCACCTCGGCTGGTTGTCGGTCTATGCAGCTCACCGCATGGCGCGGCGCCCGCCGACAGGCGGGAGAGGGGAGGGGGAGGGGTAGTGCGCCAGTCGAATTGGGCAATTCCGGCTGGCGGACAGCACCGGGGATTCCCGGCGCCCGGGCACGCGGGCCACGTGCTCCGGAGTCCGGCGGACGGTAGGACGGACGGAAGGCGCCGTGCCGCGCCGGCACGTCCGGTACGGTTCGGTGTCCACACCAGAATATCCATGTGTGGTGGGCTGTGACATCTCCCAACCCGAGGTATGTACCGACCAGTCATCAGACACCGCTGGTGGACCTGTCACATCGGTGGCGGGAGAGGGAGTAGGAATTCCGCGTGGTGACATGACCGTGGCTGGCGGCGGGGCTGGATTTCCAGTTATATGGGTCAGGTGACCGACTGGCATTACGCGAGGGAAACCCCAGCCGAGCTGCCTGGCGACTCCGGACTATAACGGGGGGGGGGGGGGGGATGTGCTGTCGAGTGTCGAGGTCGACCCAGGGACGTCAGCAGTCGTCCGCAGGGGTCACTGTGTGTAGCGTGCTTGCTGCAGAGGCCCAGTGTGTCTGTACTGGCTGAATGACGTCGTGTTGAATAATGTTAGCTCATCGGCCGGCCGGATATGTAATATGTATCCACCGTTCCAGACATCCAAACTGATCCATGTTGTTGCAGATCGGAATGGGGTATGTTGACTAGCCTCGCTGTCTAGACACGCTCCACCCGCTTTAACCCTGAGTAGAGTGCAGACTTAAGCGGGGACAGAGCTCCAGCTCCCCTGTCAAGAGACACTCCCGTGGATCGCAGATCTCTGTCTCCGTCCGCACCCCGGCGACCTGTCCTGTCCTGCTCGGGAGGGCACCTCGGACAGTTGCCACGTCACACGGGATTGGTTACACTGGCGCCCGGGCCGTTGCGGTGGCAGTTCTGACGGCCGACGGCTGGGCCTTTCGTCAGACGGGCTGTTTGGTAGCTCGGTGACGGGCGGCCGTCACCGCTGCTCCCCTCCTCTCTCCGCTGCCCCTCCTCTCTCCCCAGCCCCCATTCCCCTCTCCCCAGCCCCTACTATTCTAGGCAGGGCTGGGATTGCCTTCTGTGGCTGGGGATTTTGATATCAGCGACCATATCTGGTCGCATGGAATCCTCGATCATGTATGCAGCATTGCAACCGTCTTTGAGAGCCAGCATGGTAGCATGACGTGTCCCTGTTGTAGCAAGGCTTTTAGTAGTTTTTTTTTTTCTCTCTTTAGAAAGGCTCACGAGTGAAGTCGTTCAATTTCCCACAATGATCGGTATTCGATTTGGAGGTATAGTGTGAATATATTTCAAATGTTATGTTCCACCAATGTCATAATCTGGTTTTACCTTTATTAAAAGATGGAAACATCGATATCTTGCAACACGGCATACGATCATTGTTAAAAAGCAGTTGCCTTTTCTGGGAGCTATTCTCAGCAGCAATATGGGCAATGGGCAAACAGCTGCGTGGTGCATAGCACCTACCTACTTTTGCTGCATACCAGTTTCGATTGCGTAATACTACCCACCGATTGCTGTCGACCGGTTACACCATTGCGGTGACTCCATGACATCGGTGGCTGTGGTTACTACCACGTCAGCGCTCCGGTATTTGGTATGAATGACGTCACAGGGAGCCCGCGCTGACGGCCGGCTGCCTCCTCACCTCACATACACCTATCAGTCATTCCACTCAGATGGCTGACTGCGAGTTGGAATGCTGTGAATTGTGACCTCATCGATATCTATGCTGTGACATATGAGTAGGACTGTGCCCGTGAGGCTGTAGCGTTGACTCCGTTTTGAGATATGGTGCGGAGTGCGGGTTGTAGCGTCAAAGACACGGTGCAGGTTGTAGTCGCCTCGCTGTATGTATGCTCTGTGCGGAACCGGGCACGGAATGTCGCACAGTGCAGTCCAGTGCAGGTAGCCACAGGCCCGGACACGTCTGACAAGTGCACGGTGCACGGTGCAGACATGCAGATGGCAGATGGCAGATTGCGGGCCGGTGGACGGAGCGGGCTCGATCAACGGAGTGCGACCGTACCATGTGCACTGTACACTGTCACGCCGTGGTCTGTACCATCACCAAGTGCAGCGTGCACTGTGCACCGTATAATCTCCGTCACCCCTTGCACTCTGGCCGTGGATGGGAGTGTGATCACACCTTTCAACTCGACAGCTATTTCCGGTTCGCACTTTATATCACTGTCAAACAATGGTTGGCCTCATGCTTGCTCAGTGCTCACAGCTCACATCCACGTTAACCACCGATAGTCCTGGTGACGCCTTTCAAGAGGCAGCGGAGAATCTTTGTATTACAGACTTCAGAACCTGCTGGCGTATAAGGCTCGATCGCCCCCGGGCCTCGACAAATTGCCCCTTCAGGGGCTCATTAGTTCGGATGCGGTGATCCCGGTGCGTTGCCTTTCCCCACTACATACAAAAAGTGTAGCGGACTGAAGCATGACGACTGGAAAGAGTTGCCATTTCTTATTAAGTATAATAGCCTAGTAAGACTAGCTTTGAAGCTCATCCTGTGTTCAGACACCCGTTGGTGGTGTGTTCAGTGGCCGGCGCCTCAGTGGCATCCCCCCTCCCTCTGTATTACTCCAGGTCGGCACTGCACTGGGACTGTAAACGGGGCCGGTTAGAGGCGGTGACAGCCCCCTCCCTCTGTATTACTCCAGGTCGGCGCTACACTGGGGCTGTAAACGGGGCCGGTTGGAGGCGGTGACAGCGCCCCCCCCCATCCCCTGCTCCCGGTGACATCCCCCTCCCTCTGTATTTCCCAGGTCGGCGCTGCACTGTCTGGGGCTGTAATGGGGACCGGTTAGAGGCGGTGCTCAGTCCCCCCTCCCCCGTGTATCCCCAGGTCGGCGCTGCACTGGGGCTGTAAGCGGGGCCGACTGGAGGCGGTGACAGCGCCCCCCCCCCCCCCCATCCCCTGCTCCCGCTGACAGCCCCTCTCGCTGTATTCCCCCAGGTCGGCGCTGCACTGGGGCTGTAAGCGGGGCCGGTTGGAGGCGGTGCTCAGTCCCCCTCCCCCGTGTATCCCCAGGTCGGCGCTGCACTGGGGCTGTAAGCGGGGCCGGTTGGAGGCGGTGCGTCTCCTGCTGGCCGCCGGCGCCGACGTCTCCGTGACCAACAGCAGCGGTCAGCAGCCGTCTGAGCTCACCAAGAACCGACCAATTCTGCAGCTCCTCGGTGAGTAGTAATAGCTGCTGGCGGCCCGGCGCGCTCGGCACTGCACAGGGGCTCAACGGGGAGTTCCGTGGAAGCGACTTGTTCTGCTACATTTGGTATTCTGAGCGTGGCTACGAACAGAGGCGGATCCAGCTCAGAGGTTTGGGGGGGGGGCAAACCATAAAAATTTATCGATTCTTTCCATGCATCGCCCATAGGCGTAATGTTAAAATCATGCCGTTTGGGGGGGGGGCAAATGCCCATTTTGCCCCCCCCCCTGGATCCGCCACTGGCTACGAATGTTTGTTTCAATATTTGTCGTACAATGTGTAGGATAATCTCAGAAAGCTTAATTCTGGGCCTTTAACATTTCTAACTACCCTGATGTTAAGCATGTAGCTCGTCTTTTTATTGATGGGTCGTTGGACAACCATCCACCCTGGTCTCGGCGGTATCTTCGTCTACTGACCTCTATGTAGCCGTCTGTGTGCGTCCATGTGATGCCCCATTCACTCTCTCCACAGGAGTGGAGCCCACAGAGGGGGAGTCTCCGCCGGACGTCTCCCCAGCGGCGGGCACCCCCTCCTTCCAGCCCTCCTACCTGACCTACCCGGCGTTCAGCGTCGACTTGACGCCCAGCCGGCTGCCCAACGGCGACAGTGGCGCCGCTGGTGAGCCGACGCCAGCGCTGCCTAACGGCAGTCTTGAGAAACCGCCCCCCGAGCCTGCCGCGCCCGCTGCGGTGCCGGTGGTTCCCGTGACACCGGCGGTGGCTGGACTGGTGTGCTGCTCCTGCCGCGACCGGCAGAGGCCCGTCAAGGGCGCCATCCCTGATGATGGTACGTACCGCTGGCCGGCTGTAACCGGCTCGGGGTAATGACCCTTCCGCCGTTTTCTGCCTTTTTACGAGACGGCGAAGTGACATGTGCGCGACGTTCCTGGGAATATTTAGTGTCATTGGCTGCTTATGGCCATTGCTTTTACCAAAAGGAAACCCATTATATGTGATTCTGGCTTTGTACGACGTCAACATCTGCTAGTGCCACCTACTTCAATTGAGTTACTTCCTTGATAGCCGGGTGTTGCTGCTGCCAGGCTAGTGGCTACCAGTTGCATTTGGCGGTCATTTCAGACTGTTGCTGACGGGCGAACTGCTAACGACTGTTGCTAACTTTCTTCTGACCGTTCCTGAATTCCGTCATCTGTTTCTGGGTGTAAAGGACTGTCGCTTGCGAATGAAATGACGGTCGTCCGACGAGTATCCGACTGTTCATGTGGTTTATGGCTGGCTGCTGTGAATGGCTGGCTCATTCATGGCTGTCGACTGCTCTATTCACGGTTTTAAACGTTCCCACTATTTCTGTGCTCTTCAGAGCTGATTAACTGTTATTCCCACTGTCACTGACCGTCATACCAAATACGTATGTGCTGCTGAGAAGTCGGAACTCGTGCAGAAGGCTCTATCCTAATGCAATTGTCTTACCGACGACGTTGTCAGCGGTCTCCAGAGCTGTTCCCGACTTCTATCCGTTGGTATATAGTGTCTGTTCCATTCGCTGGTGCTAACTACTCTATACGCCAGTGCTGACTGCTCTATCCGCTGATGCCGACTGCAGAAGGTTCTCTCCAGTTCCACTCGTACTGACTGTTCTCCCATTGTGACCGTCGTGCCGACTGAGTCTTTGCTCCCTGGAGCTGTTGCTGACAGCTCTCCTCCCTATCTCCTCAGAGCTGGTGCTGAAGGTGCGCGTGGCCGGTGTGCCCGCGGAGGCCGACTTTGTGGAGCTGCAGCTGCCGCTCTCCGAGCTGACATTTGACCGACTGCTCAGGGAGTGCTGCCGCGAGCTCAACATTGACGGACAGGTGCGGTGAACCCATCGACACCGGGGTACTATCTAGTGCGGACATGGTGTCATACGGAGGAAATATCACACTCAGGCAATGTTAGACTGTGTCAGTGTCAAACTGTCGATTTCAGACCAGACTGCAGTATCAGAGAAAGTCAATGGCCTCGCAGTAGCTGCTAGATAAAACAATCTTCTAGCCACACAATGAGAAGCCGCAGCGCGTCATGCCTTTGCCATCATCAGCCGATCTCGCTTTCTTGACATATTCTGCATCATATTTTGAACAAGCTACACCGCTCACCAACACGCTCCACTGACCGAACGCCTACCCCTACATCAGCCCACTATCCGCCTACCTCTCATACGCAGACGTCCGGCCACCCTCTGACTTTCCCTCCCTCATACGCAGACGTCCGGCCACCCTCTGACTTTCCCTCCCTCATACGCAGACGTCCGGCCACCCTCTGACTTTCCCTCCCTGCCTACCGCACGCAACCCTGTGATGATTAAACTTCTCCCTTCTCCTCCTCACCAGGTGATCGAAAGAGTGAGGAAGCTTCCCAACACGCTGGTACGACGTGACAGCGACGTGCGCCGCCTCACCGACTACCAGGAGCTGGAGCTGGTGGTGCGGGGCAGCCGACCGGCCCCGGCCCCCGCCGCCGCCCCGGCCACCCACTCGGCGCCGGCCGGGCCCTTCTCCAGACCCATCGTCTACTAGATGGTGGGCGGTGAGATGAGGGAGGAAGCAGAGCTCAGGTCAGCCAGTCGTACCTCAGCTCTCTGCGCTGCGCGGCGGTGGGGCTCCGTATGGAGCGCGCAGCTCTCTTTAGACCTCCCCACTCAGAGACGAAGGTGCTTCAGTCTTCACGGGTCTGCCTTTGTACGTTGATGCATTCTGCGGTAGAGACGCTAGTCTATGGTCTTCGCATTGTGCTGCTGTGCTAATTCGCTTGACTGAACCGAACGCGTGGATGCATTCGGTTTGCACTGGTATAAAAAATAGAGCATTCTAGTGGAGTCTAGGACTTCTCTTGGTCCTTATCACATCTTGTTTTTCGTTGAATGGCGAGCCGATAATGAAATCAATCGAATACGCATCGCAAGTAACATCAGATAGAAAAACAAGAATGCTGCTCACGGACATGCTCACTGCTCAGCTGTAATGAGCTTTGGTTATATATCATTTTGTAACGGGCATTTACATTGCTCATCGCCGGTAAACATGGAATATGCAGAGAGCGTGTCTAGCTGCGGCACATCGGAACCATGGATGAAAAATCATGACATCTTACAACTGTGTCGATACTTATTCTAAATGACCCTGCCATGGACCACCGTTGAATTCTAAATGACTTATTCTAAATGACCCTGCCGTGCCGTTGAATTGTCTTTTTCGACTTGTGCGGCTATCGCCATATGGTTGACTCATGACTGTTTTGGACGAATTATTAGATGACCACCTCGCGCGCTCGATGTGATGTGCCCTGCGTCTGCGCTGTGCCTCTGTGTTATCTCCGGCCTCAGTCTGCTGGTACCAGGGTATCCTCTAGACTCTAGTATGTCACTGGGCGGGACCCGCATCTTTTCGGTCGCGGAGTGTGCGAGAGCTGTGAGGGGGCCTGTGAATTGTGTGTGGTGCGTTCCACCACTCTCCGACTTTCCCTGTGACGTGTCTGTTTCGTAAGCTCCCAGCGCCTCAGCTGCGCGTAGCTGCCCCAAGAGTCACCGTGCTTCTCTCTCAGTCTGGTAACTGCTCTTCTTGTGAGCTACACAATTATTCTCCTCTTTTGTCTGTGACCCTTTGGTACGTTCCGTGCCGCGTCCTTATCACGACTGTTTCTGCGTGAGTTCGTAATGCAATGTCTTGTCTATGTCTGCCTACATGTGCGATCGTGGAACAGTTGTTGCCTTTCCCTCCCCCGTACCGGTGCCTGCTGTGCTTTTTTTGTGCCGCGTATTTGGTCCTAGGCTATCACCCAGTGATATTGTCAGTGTGAACAGTCGTTCAGTCTTAGTCTGATGGATCTTCCCGTGTGACCATTTCCCCTGGTGGGTGACTGCTGCAGAGCCGTGTCTTTCGAAGTTGGAGGGGTATGTAATAGGGGATTCACTGGTCACTGGTCAGGGGTCAAAGTCGGGCTAGATAAGGTAGTACCCGGTCCGCACGGGGTCATCAGTCAGGTCAGGTCAGGTCAGGTGTAATCGGCACTGCCTCATGCGGCTTTGGAGAGGGTCCTCCGGGGCTGTGTGGGCTGGTGGGACGGCGTCACACGACAAATGGGGACCACACTGTGGCCCTTAACTTGCCTGGTACACCGTTCCACAGTCCAGCAGTACTAATACTCTGCGTATAGGGCTCTGAAGGGTTGTCGAGTCTTTGGGGCGCTTCAGAGAGTTATACGTCATCCGACCCCTGTGTGCAGAATACCGTAATTGTGGGCCTTGGGCGCTTGTTGTAGTGCCAGTGCGTAGTGCTTGGGTGCTAGTTTCGTGACGTGAGCAGCTGCCCAGTCGAAGGTGGGATATTAGTTCGCTGTGATTTGCCATACTCATGCAATGCGCCTCTGTTTTGACAGAGTGGTGTTTGTTGTTGATTGATGGATGTTGTACCTCCACGGGCCATTTTGGAGCTTTTTGCTAAAGTCACATTGGTTAATATGTTGTTTCATTTTTGGGGTGACTGATAAGAATGATGGTTAGATGTTTCAAATGATGTTATATGCTTTTTTATATACTAATAATTGACTTTCATGCTGTGCATTGCTCCGTTACGAGCACGGTAATCATTCACATCAACTCCGTCATAGTGAATGTTATGTTGAGAAGTTCTTCGTTGAAATGAATTCTATAATTTAATTACAAAGCATGGCTGTTTAGGTATTTTGATGCCGGATCAGCTGCAATTGCTTCCTCTTTGAATTAATCGAAAGGGATTGCGCAATTATGAGGCTATGCGACGATGTTACCTATTCGTTGAACGTATATGCTGACGTGCTAAAATAATACATTTGTGACTTGCTGAACTCGCACAGTGTTGGTGAGCTTCTCGGTGCTTGACTGGAGTAGGCGATCTTTCACGATCACGACTTTTTTAGTCCTTTATCTGTACTGTTGCCGCTGACGGACCCTGAAGAGGCAGCCCTGCCCGTGTTTGGGACCGGAGCGATTGTCTATTCGATGTCTCACTTTAGTTATTTCACTTAACCTTCGTCATTTTGTCAGGAATGGCGTCTTGTGTCACGATAATTCGTATTATCCTGATAGGTTTTAATTTTTATTCCATTTTTCGGTCTTGTGGGAACCAGTGAGTGAATAGTTCGTAGTAGTAACATGTAGTAACCAGTATAGCGCCTTTTGGGGCGACTAACGGAGCGAGCGAGGGGGTGAGTCTTGCACGTGCGAAATTTCGAGGGGTACCTCCAACTGACTTGTGCACGGCACCCTACTAAACGGTCTCTAGCGATGTGCCAAATTTGAGCACAATCGGCCCAGCCGTTCTCGAGATCTGGAAGCGGCACCCTGCACGTGCGCACGTGCAAAATGGGTCCCAACTGACTTGTGCACGGCACCCTACTAACTGGTCCCTAACCGTGTACCAAATTTGAGCGGCATCGGTCCAGCCGTTCTCGAGATCTGGAAACGACCCCTGCACGTGCGCACGTGCAGCAGCACCCCAACTCTGGCACATGGATATGCAGTGCCTAGTAGGTGCCTACCTACATGCCAACTTTCAGCGCAATCGACCAAGTAGTTACCGAGATATTGCAACAATTACTAAACTGGCACCTCTTCGTTTTGCACGTGGCACGTGCATAAGGGGTCACCCACATGCATCGAGGTAGAAGGAATGAAGCTACCTTACAAAAATTACCGCATGTAAATCGGTCAAGTGATTGCTGAGATATAAGCCTCGCAAAAGCGTCCGCACGGCCGGCCGGCCGGCCGGCCGCTCATACTCAGAAATTTCCGTTATTCTACGTAAGACTCCGCTCGCTTCGCTCGCTCCGTAATCATGCAATGGACTCGAATAGCCGTTCTGCCAATTCCTTCCAGCCTTGATCGGTAGTCATCCGAACAAAGTTATTTATTGCCTGGTTTTATTTGGACTTCCCTGTCACATCATCGCGGTCCCCCTAGTGTCCTCTGCCATTTTCATTTTATTTTTTAGTTTGGTGATACTTTTCTGGATTAGCATGCGTTGCTCATCGTCCCTACCTGAGGAAGTGAGGCCCGAAAAAGGCGGTGATCACGACATGTATCCAACGAATACCGATAGCTGATATATGTATTTCATACTCGGACGAGTATGTAGTTGTAGAGCAGTTTCCCATCACCCCATGAGAAATATCTTTAACCTGCCGGCCCAGCAATAGTGGACCCAATGTATGGTGGTCCAGCATGCGTCATCACATCTCTCACGTAGGACGGAAGGGAGGTAACTGCGGCGTGTGGGCGGACCGTATGTGCATCACGGATGAAAGCGATCTCTACGACTCGCCCTAACAGTTAACCCTATTAGTGGCAGGGGGGGGGTTGTTTTTATCCACCCCTCAGGTTTTTCGGGAATATCTCCGAAACCGCTGAAGCTACGATGCTGAAATTTTCTGACTTTTCCTAAAACTAAATTGGGCACATTCCCTGAAAATTTCAAGTTCATAACTTTACCAGGGGCGGCTCCAGAGCACTGGGAATTGGGGGGTCCTATTCGTGAAGCGAGTCATTTGGGCGAAGATCACGATGCTGCACCAGTTTTACGAACAGTGAATGAAAGGTATCATGTGATAACATATACAAAGTTATTGTGCATCCTCTTTTGACACGTTTTTGCTATAATAGGCGGATCCAGGCGTCCAAAAAGGGGGGTTATTTTTTACCTCCCAACATAGGTGCCCTGACACCGCCTATGCATGACCAATACAATTTTAGTCGTTCTCTCATAAGAAAATTGTAACATAATAAGATCATTGCCACCCTTTTTAGAAACAGTACCAACAAAAACCTTATTTACTATACTTTTTGTGTACCCCCAATCTCAATGATCTGTATCCGCCTATGATTTTTGAAAATGCATATTTTTAGGATCCATGTGAATTCCTGGTTCATTCTCTATCGATCGGCAAAAGTTGCGTTAAGATTGGTTCAGAAACCTGGCCGTGATAAACAGTCTAAAATGTATCTGCAATTTGCCCTTTTTTACCCCCCTCTACCCCCCTATTGACATTTTTTAATTTTATTTTTTTTTTAGAAATGTAGATCTCGTTGAGCCAAATCGAATGCCGTTTGAATTTTGAAAATCGGCCCGTTAGATCTCGAGATATCAAGGGGGGTCGTAAACAGCCCCCCCCCCCCCTGCCACTAATACGGGGTAGCCAGGAGCCTGCCACTAATAGGGTTAATACAATCGTGGTGGGAATGGATGTTGTACTGGTGATACACACGAAAAGTGCATAAACTCTTCAAATAAAGAGCGAGAGGAGTACACGATAGTGTTAAGAATCGCTCTTCAATGGTAATTAATTCGTTGACCTACATAGTCAGTTATGCCATGGGACTTGATAAATTATACGGTGGTAGTGGGACGATACTTATCGCGAGCGTGGGGGGCCGTAACAGGGAGTGGGGTGAGCGGTACCGGATAGTGGGATAGTGGGAGTGATATGGGAATAGTGGGAGTGGATCGATGGGACTGAGTGGGATGCGCGATATGGTAAATGTTGGAGTTTACTTTGGTTGGGTAAAATCGGGCTGCGTAGTTCTAGCGCGTAACGCGGTGGCCGCCGGGCGTTGCTTGGATTGGAACTCATACTTAGTGCGTAGCTTGATACTTGACAGTACCTTTTAAACTCGCAATGTTCACAAATTGTAGATTGCTGTAATTTGGGAATTTTAATTCGGAATTTGCGGTACCTACCTCTATATTTGATACTTGATAGGGTGATAGATATGTATATGGAGTTTGTTGTAGCTAGCGGTGATTGAGCGGGCTCCGTATATTTACAAAGCCGCCGTGACCGTATAAAGGGTCGCCGCTGGCCGCCCGGCCGCTCGCGCCGCCTGGCGGGCCCAGGTACCGACGCAATCACGCATCGACCCCCGCGGCAGCGGCGGCGGCGGCGCGGTGCGGCGGCCGGCCGCGCGGCGCCCTCGGATGCGACGCCCGCTCGCGTGGCGAGCCGCCGCGTGCGCCGTGCCAGCCGGCCGGCCGGCGGGTGACCCCCGCCCCCTGCCAGAGGCGGTCACAGGCCGCACCCCGCGGCAGTCGGCTCGGTACACCAGGGGCGGAGGCAGGTCAGGGTGCTGCGGGAGCGCGACACGGCACTCACTGGGGAAGACTGAGCGGGGAGCGAGTTTGTCACGCCAGGCTGGAAGTCCATGTTATGTATGCCTACGCATCATCTCACTGATCAGCGTTCATAAATGACAAAATTTGGAAACTTCATTTTACCGTGACCCGTGTGCTGCGTTCTACAGCGTCACCTGTAGACCCCACCTACCCTACAATCGCTAGGAAGAGTTGTGGTGGAGCGATGTTTAGAGCGATGAAACACGTCAGATGTATTCAGCTCGACGATACGGATCGACCGATATGCAACATGACCCTTTCCGGAAAGGTCATTTTGAAAATTTGACCTCAGGTCAGCGTTTCAAAATGGAAAAAAATTGACCTTGACCTGATGTCAAATTTCAAAATCACCTTTCAAGGTCAGCGAATAGTTCATCCGACGCCTCTCGACGAGAAGTTATGTTAAGCCGCTTATTAAGTTACGTTAAGTATATGGCAAAATTATGTCGTGGCTTGCTTGAATCAAAAGTTATTACCGAAAAACTGTTTTAGGTGAAAACGGTTATTTTTACAGTTTTTGCTCTCTGGAGGCTAACCGTTGAGCTGAGGTCAAATCTGAGAACAATAATCAGAAAGGTCTGTAAAAGGGCTATCGAATGCGCTTTTCCGCGGCGCTGTACCTCTATTGGTTCCCGAGTTAGCCGTTGGCGGTTTCCAAAATTGTTGAAATGGCCTACATTTGACCTTTAATGACCTCTGGTGACCTGACCTTTGACCTGACCCGAAAAATGACCGAAGTGTTTCCGTCATTATTTTTGACACTCTTTCGAATGTCGCCTACTGCGTGTCGCTACGTGGCCCAGGAGCCGAGTTAGAGGGGGAGGGGTGTTCAGACAACTCCCCCGGCCCGACGCGGAAGTCGCGGAGCACCGGCCCGGCGCGGGTTAACCCGCGCGGGGCTGGGGTCTCCAGCCGAACGCGCGGGGCTGGGGGGGGGGTAAATTTTACCCCCCCTGTTATCTCCCGAACTAATGGTCTGATTTGGAAAATTCAAACGCCAATCGAAAGCTCTCATCACGAACTACTAGAAACATGTACTTAATTTAAAGTTTGAGGTCAAGGTCAAGGTCAGGTCAAGGGTACAAATTGCAAGTTTCTACAGTATCGGCCTTGCACCGTAGTTGCCGAAGAATGGAGTCATGGACTGAGACTGATCGCCCAAAACGTGTTCTTAGGCTACCAAGACAATATTTGTTGCATACAATATCATTCAGAGGTCAAGGTCAAGGTCAGGTCAGGTCAGGTCAGGTCACCAAAAACAAAATATAGAAAAGGGCATGTGCGACACATGTTTTATGTGTCATTTTACTCATAGAATTCAATAGGCACACTCAATAAGTGATATGGACCACCTTTGGATGAATTTCAGGTCGAGGTCAGGTCAAGGTCAGGTCAAGTGAGGTCAAATTTTGAAGTTGGTTGTTAGGGCCTAAAAAGGTGTTTATCTGATGCAGTTTTTCACGGCGAATCGAATGGTGCTATTTTTGTTTCCGTACGAGGTCTAGAACTTCCAAAAAATTCATTTTTCAAAAAATTTGTGTGTCGTGACGTCATAAAATTTTGAATAACTCCCACATTTTTGAACCGATTCTTCTGAAATTGGTATGTAGGTGCACATAGACCACGTCTGACATATATTCCGGTTTTTTCGATAGACTCAAATTTTGGATTTATAATGATTTTCCC